TATTAGTTTCGACTTTTCTGGACGATTAGACTACATATTTCGTCTCGTTGACCCAAGTTTTATTCCCACTTTTTGAAATCAATTACGCAGTCTTCATGCTTATTGTCTTTGTACTGCTTATATTATCTTCGGACGTGAATCTTCCGTGTTATGGACATTCACGGAATACCATGAATTATTGAACGAAAATATTATTAAGACTCCTAATCGTCATAGCCGGATTTTCGTACAATTCACTGCAGCTTAATTAAAAAATGTCTATTTTAATCGATTTTAATTAACTTGTATTTTTTTTATCTCTTGGAATTCTTAAAATACAGGTCTCTGTTACAAGGATGTTTCTTATTTTATTCGTTATCAGATTTCAAAGAATTTTCAAAGCAGTTTTCTATGAAATGAAAATGAACGTGTAACCGATTTTACAAAAGAAACAGGTGCGTTTAAGAGAAAAAAAGTAATCATTTCTATATATCTTAATTGAAAAAAAAGAAATAAAATTTTTACTTTTTTAATATACAATTTTAGGTTCATAAGATAGCATAATTTTCTTCCTTAAAGTTTTACTGATCTTGATGAGTAAAGAGCAACTATTCATAATCATTTTTGCTTCTCGATCGATACTACGATATTATATCTTTATGCTTTCGGATCCCCCCCTATCTACGTCCCCCTCCCCTATGTCCTGTCCTAACTGCAGCGTAACTGACTATTTGTCCTCATTCTGCGTTATCTTTAAGAAAATTGTCTTAGTCCCGTTTCCTAGGTTTTTTTTTTTTAAATTGCATCTATCGTTGATTTCGCATAGATTGATCTTTCTCGCACGCGAAAAACTATTGATTTCTCTGTCTCTTTAGATCATATCATAACAAGAAATCTTTCCTCGGCTTGGTCAACACTTCGCATTCTGCTTAATTTATTCTTTTCTTTAAGAATTGTTCATTCCCTTCTGCAGGCAATGTGGATCAATATGCCATTTTCATTTTCATGATAATAATTTGTATGCTAAAAGTAAAATCATTTTCATGAGAATTGCAGTTTTGAAAATTTAAACTTTACGCGCAAAAACTCTATCTTTTTATTCAAGTATTTATTGAGTCTTCTTGATACTACAGATTTTATTACCTCTGGTTTGCACCATGTCTATTCTATTATGCTGCTGCATGGCGGTCTGAATTTCGTTATTTGAAAAACAGTTTTAGGTTTTTCAACATTTAAACGTGAACTACACCATAGTCAGCCAAGCCTGTCTTTTCAAAACAATCATTCTTGTTCTAAGTTAATGTACTCTGCCTGTACAAAGTTTCTGGTATAAAATTCACAATAGCTTTAATTGTACTACAATTAAATTTTATTCATTTTACACAGTTTGTCCGCGTCTGCCTCGGGGTTTGAACCCAGCACAGCACGCGATCCTAATATGCTATATGTGCTAGGGTCTCGTTGTGTCAGTTTTTATTAATATTATCAATTCTCGGAGACTCAATCTTTTTCTGTGTTTGATTTTCCCTTATCTTATCAGCTTTCGTGTAGATGACTTCCTATCGTCTCTTGGTAATAACCGTTGATGTGCTTTACGAATATCTCAAGTAGGTCATCTTGATTTCTTGTATACAGTCATTTTGCGCTTACTGTGATCGTTGATTTACCGACACTACAAATTATCTTATGTTTGTTTACTTTCTTATCACGTTGTGTGACTGTAATCGCGTATTTGCTCATTCATCTCATTCATACAAATATCTTTGTTGTGTTTAACATTTTATTCGTATGTATATCTGGGTCGTCAGACACAAGACACATAATGGTAGTCGAATTTCAGACTCTTAAGTTCGCTTACTATTGCAAGTGCCCGAGAAGTAGTCCGTTTTTTTGAAGACGGTTACTTTCTCTTTATAGCATGTAACACTTAGGCCGAAAAATTTTAGGAGAGATCACTGCGTAAATATGGTCACATGACAAGCGGATTAATTTTTCAAGCAAAATAATTCCCGAATGGTCGAAGATTTCTAATATTGTTTTATTCTTTATAGATATACATGCTAGTATAGTAAGCGCTCCCTATGATTATTTACACAAGTGTTAAACAACAGTTAGCGTCGTTACAAACCCTAACTAGAAAAATATGGTTTTCTTCAGGGCGATAATCATGATAAATCCACTTGGCCGAGGAGTTTGCGCGCTTGCTTAGGAAGCGAGAGGTCTGGAGTTCAAATCTTAGTTATCATGCGCAAATATTTTTTTTTTCAAATTGTTTAAGTCAAATGAACATTGGATCGAATAACAGTGTTGCAATTAGTTTTATAGCCAATCTACTACAATTAAAACGCTGGAAAGCATTGGTGGCACTTTACAAAAACAAATTGTTTTATAATCTCACAACCTTCACCTTTCTGACATTCTGAGACCCAAACAAATTCAGCGCCTTCTGTGCTTTGATTTATTACAGTTGCGTATGTGATCGTTTGGAGTTACCTGCATACGAATTTCTTATGTTGTGTTTACTTTTTTTATTACAGTTGCGTATGTGATCGTTTGGAGTTACCTGCATACGAATATCTTATGTTGTGTTTGTTTTCTTTATTACAGTTGCGTATGTGATCGTTTGGAGTTACCTGCATACGAATATCTTAGACGATTTAGTGAACCATTGCATCTTGGCCAGTGTGCTCATCGAATCGTCCAGTATCCAGAAGGCCCATATCCAGAAGATTGGTAAGTCTGTTTACTCTTATTTAGTCCGAATTTTCGTATAAATACGCCAGCAAACTAGTGTTTCTTACTGAATTGTTTGGACGTAAAAGGAAAGCATTAAGGTCTTGAGTCGTTTGCTAAATATTTACCAATGACAAATATTTTGCCCACAACATTTTCAAAAATTGATCATATATAATATCAACCTTTTTAGATTACCATGACATGCATCCCATGGCAATGAGAGTAATATTTCACGCATGCGCATTCTAATATCTCTGGATGTTAAATTTACTCTTGCCTTTCCGTTCCTCTAATGCCAAATATATAGAAATCCGTAGCTATACAATATATGAAAGTGCATTTACGTAGATTTATTTAAGACTGTGTCGATAATCTTTAGAGTTATTACCCTTTGTATTTTTAAAATGTTCAACCAATTATAAAAGATTTGAAAAATTACTACGCCAAATGTTTTTGAAACATCACAGCATGGTAGGAACATATATAACTAGTTGAAACAATATGTGTTCTGTTGTTTTCATAATTCGATGTTTCTATTATGTTGTTTAATGTTTTAAGTTTGTTTCGATAAATCACGGTGTTCTTTTCTTTTTCGAGAATTGTACTATGTTGTTTTAGCGTATTATTTTGTTCCTCCATTTGTTGTGATGAATTCCGTACTGTAAATTGTTTTCATTAAAGTTTTTAAAATGTCTTATTCGAATTTATTGCGCGTATAATTTTTCTAAAAGTTTTTTTTTATGTCTCTATTTTTTCATTACATTGTTATATCGAAATGTTTTGAGAATAATTTTGTCAGTATTTATCCGAAAATTAAAGTAGGTTACATGGTCTAACTGTTAGCAATTTTTCTTGGATTTAACTTAATACAGGACTGGAGCAGTACCTCCAGACGCTTGCAGAAGTCATGATCAATAAATTGACAAATATCGTTTTTCTTGCCGATTCTTACATTTTCCATTCATTATCATACATAAATCGTTGTGAAAAGATGAATAAGACCTTTTAAAGCTGCACGCCTCAAGATGAGCCTAAATATTTAAAAAAAAATCAATATTGACAAAAATTCACTAAACTTTTAAGAAAGATAAAAACATTCAAGATCCACGTTATATTTTACATGTTATGTGCGGTTTAAGACTAATTTTGCAGTATTTTATCACCATATTACTACTGCGTTACTAACGCAGTAAGGGCTGTTTGGCTGATCTTGACCACTTTTTGTTAATTTTCGTGGATCGTAAGTGCCGATTTCAATATGTAAATTACTTTAGTTGTTCACCTAACATTTTTTCACTTTTAAATACATTTCCAAATTTTTCATGAAAATTAACATGAATCTGGAGGCGTCCGTTAGCATTTAATCATTCAAGCGCCGGTATATACCGGAATACGGTATTTAGTGTGGTGCTCAAACCCTTTTTTAGTCTCACTCATTTTTATTTGTAGCTTATTTCCTAGTAGAAAAGGGAAGGAAGAGTCCAGGTATAAGAAGGTCCATTCGCAACAGTTAAAACCTGTCCATGATGTCCAGCAAATGATGCAATATTTAAGAATGTGTGACGTCAAGTCCGCCCAATATTTCGGTTTGCTTGCCAAAGGTGATTGCGTGGCGGTAAGCGAATTTTTCAAAATTTGTTTGCAAGATCACACAAACTTTTAGTCTTCTTTTCTCTTCAATCTTTACAGAGATGTTTATTGTTTATTTGCTGGCCCACTGACTTGTACAGTATTTGAAATCGGCAATGTTGACGTAGGGAGCCGCGGTCATACCATATGGTAGTATTAATCCATTTTGTCATATATTTGTTACTTTTATTCTGAAATATTATTTTCTGTTTTTTAGGAATACATGTTATGTTCCAATAACCAACTAACTTTTGGACAGTAGTTGGGGATACACGCGAATAACCAACTGATTCCCAGAACACATCTATCTTGCTATATATCCGTTGCATTTATTCCTAAAAATACTTTCTGTTTTTGAGGGAAAACATGCTAAGTAAGAATTACCAAGTACTGGTTGGTAGTTTGAGATTCGCGCGAATAACAAACTTGGTCCCCTCCTTTATTCTGTATGATAAGTTCGACCATAGTGGATGCATGTTTACTATATCAGTAGTGTCCTGTGCGGCAGTGTGTTAAAAGTGCCCTGTGTTGTTCAGGTCAGTCTTTGAGCAGTGCCCTGTTTGTCAGGGTTTAAGGAGTGTTCTCTGTGTCAGGTCAGTGTTTGGGTAGTGCTATGTGTGTCAGTAGTGTCCTGTATGTCATTATGTGAGTTTTGGTCAGTGTTTGAGTTGTGCCCTTTGTGTCAGTGTGTGAGTACTGTGTGTCTGTAGTGTCAGTGTTGTCAGTAGTGGCAGTGTTGTAAGTGGTGTTCTGTTTTTTTGTGCTGTCTTGTGTGTCAGCGTTGTCTCTAGTGTCAGTAGTGTCAGTAGTGTCCTGTGTGTCTGTAGTGTCCTGCGTGTCTGTAGTGTCAGTGTTGTTAGTAGTATCCTGCGTGTGTATTTGAGTAGTACATTAGTGCCCTGTGTTTCAGTAATGTCAATAGTGTTCTGTGTGTCAGTACTGTCCTGCGTGTAAGTAGTGCCTTGTGTGTCAGTAATATCCTGTGTGTCAGTATTGTCAGTGTTGTTAGTAGTATCCTGTGTGTCAGTATTGTTAGTAGTGTCCTGTGTGTTAGCGTTGTCAGTAGTGTCATGTGTGTCAGTATTATTATGTGTGTCAGTAGTGTCAGTGTTGTTAGTAGTTTCCTGTATGTCAGTAGTGTACTGTGTGTCTGTAGTGCCAGTAGTTCCCTGTGTGTCTGTAGTGTCAGTGTTGTCAGTAGTGTACTGTGTGTCTGTAGTGTCAGTGTTGTCAGTAGTGTCCTGTGTGTCTGTAGTGTCAATGTTGTCAGTAGTGTTCTGTGTGTAAGTGTTGTCAGTAGTGTACTGTGTGTCTGTAGTGTCCTGTGTGTCTGTAGTGTCAATGTTGTCAGTAGTGTCCTGTGTGCCAGTGTTGTTAGTAGTGTACTGTGTGTCTGTAGTGTCAGTGTTGTCAGTAGTGTACTGTGTGTCTGTAGTGTCAGTATTTGAGTTGTGTCTTTTGAGTTCGTGTTGTATGAGTAGTGTCATGTGTGTAAATGTTTGAGCTGTGTGAGTAGTTTTTATTAATTAATATACGAAAGATTGTTAGTATTTAATGAAGTAGACAGATTGTTAGAATTTTAGTGGAGTAGCGGGGGATCGAACTCGCAACCCCTAGATTTGTAGTCAGACAGTGTTACCACTGCACCACAGCGCCCGCTCTGATTTATAGCTATTTTGGAAGTCCCTTTATACATTATCACATTAGTAAACTTGAAATTGAGTAATGCAATTTAATTTTCACACCTCAATAGTTAATATAGCTGTTAGGTCTATAGTGTTTTATAATGGCTGACATTCGTATCCTTGCCTGAGGGGTTATGATAAAGGACTTTACAAAAACGAGAAGTAAAAAGAAAATAAGTAAGATTGTTGACAGGCAATAAAAAAACCATTCTAGAAAAAAAACATGTTTCGTTTAATAGAATCGCAGTTCTAATATTGACAGTAAGTAATCGAAATCAATACTTGTTGTTAATGATAAATGATGGTTTGAGAAAAGTCTTTTTAGTCTAATTTTCACATGTTAAAGATAATACTGTTGATGGAAATTAGGTGAAACAAGTATGTTAAAGCAACAAACCTCAAGCCTATTTTTCTAATTTTTATGAATTTTTTTAAAAAAATTAATGTAAATTAAAGGTAAAATATTTTCGACTGAACAAAGAATGTAATTTACATATTGCAAAGAACATTTTCAATCCACGTAAATTACCAAATAAATTTCAAAATGTGTTAAAAAACACACCAACAAAACAGATATGTGACAAGTTAGATGAATTCTACAAAATGGTATCTGTCGACTAAGGCACACAGTTGGTTATTCGCGTGAACCCACAACTACCTACCAGAAGGTAGTTGGTAATTCGAACTTCTGCTGTTAGATAGTTTTGGATTCGCGCGATAAACAACTAAATCTCCTCCTCAATTCTGTGTTTAAAAATGTATGATGTGTTCTAACATTTCATGCTAGTGATAGTGGATTGAATTACCAAGTACCAGCTGTTAAATAGTTGGGAATTACGTATTACCAAGTACCAGCTGTTAAATAGTTGGGAATTATGAATAACCAACTATCAGCTAGTAAGTAGTTGGTTATTCGAATATCCAACTACCAACTACATACCAAATTGACGCTCATTCATTTTTTGTTTCTTTAACAACATGATGGTTAGCGAATAGAATACATTCTACATAGTCATTAGCCATCAGTTTTAAAAATTAATTTTCACATTTTATAAAGTTCCTGAAGTAGATTTATGGCGTGTTTTGGAAAAAGTCCGCATAAATACGTAAAATTATTTAAGTTTTATTTTTAATGGCATGCAGATATAAACGCAAGATTAATGTAAATTTCTTGCCTATTTTTTTTGAAATGTGTATACTTTGAAATAAATGTACGTAACGAGTGCATAACGTTTTCAGGGGGATTTTTGGCTTCTTTTATAACCGATTTTCGGTCCGATAGTCGATAATATTCCCAATTGAAAATAGTAAATTAATTTCCCCAATCCACAGGAATAAAATTCCAATTGAAAGTGACAAAATAAAAATATTGAATAAAAAATTCTATTTTTTTTTAAAATAAGGGCTTCTTCACTGTTATAGTGCTTAAATGTTTGAAGATGCCATTCTAGACAGTGATTGTTTTCATTCATTTAATCACTGCAAAATTTAAGTAATGCATTTTTTTCCCAATTTTTAACAAAACATCGCTGAATTTCCCAATTCCATGGGTATGGGTCATGTTCCCAAAATCCTGGAAAAAAATCTTGAGTTTTATGTCTAATGGGTCTTTAAGTGTTCTCCTTTGAATATGGCTTTAGGGAGAAACTATTATTAACTAGATAGCATACGGGTACTCTGTAACTAGTAGCAATTGAAATTCATATTCATGTCATATTAAAAAAAAAAACAACAAACAAACAAAAAACAACACAAAAAAAAACAACTAATAACAAGGGTTAACATTTTATCTAGATTTTGTGATCAGAGTTTATATTAATAAATGTTTCGCCGGTCACTAAACTGTAAAAATATTTGTTGTTATTTTGGTGTATAAATGCCAGTGCGTTATGGAATGCAGATGTTCTCTTTACATGTTAGCTTGTTGTTTGTAAATATTTATCTTATATTATTTCCACACCGATCATTTGCTTTCAAAATGAACCTAGTTACCGTCCAATATACATGTATTGTCTGTATCCAATATGTAAAATATTGGGCCGTATAACTTTTTATGGGCTGTAAGGGATAAAAGCCGTTAACGATAAAGCATCCGAATGATGTATGTTCTTGGACTCACCAGGCGGCTCGTCCAGTATAGGTCGACAAGCTATATATTTGGCCAGATAAATACCTTATTTAGTTTACACCTTATAAAATAAAACTAATGAACTTTCATTGTTTGAACCACATGATGTTCCAATAGAAATCATTATTGGATCCAATCTTATCAATTTAGCATTGATAGTCCATAAAATCCATATTAAAGTACCCCATATACTAGAGAGTTTCAACCCCTGGGCCTTTCGTAAAACCAAAATATAACAAGTCAACAAGTTACAAAAAACTAATGTATTTTATTTTTTACATTATACACTTTTTTACAGTTTAGTATAACTAAACAATTACGTGTAATTAGTTTAGCTTCTATAAAGTATTAACATGCATATGTACAATAATAAAAATATACTACACAGGCTTAGACCATGACTATCAAATATTGAAAATTAAATAATTGGACGCCTGCGTCTGATTTTTTTAACAAAATGACCTTAACCCGAACTATCACATCAGCATCTTTTTTGTGCGTATTTTTTCTACATTTTTGATTGTTTATATAAACTATTATAGTAAACAAATATCTATAACTAAAATAGTTCATTACGAAATGTGGATCATGTTAATAAGTGACACATCGTTATCATAAAAATTATATTATGAAATGTTGATTAGTGACACATTTCAAAAAAATGCCAGCACTAATTTCTACACCAAATATATTAATGTCTTTCAGTACTGGTTTTCATCAATGTATTTTGATATATGTCATAATGCCGGAACATTATGTATTTTAAAATATTCTTGAACTAGTTCTCAAACCAGTACTGTTTTTTTATACCATGTGATCCGAAATATTGCAGTACTTGTTGCTACATAGTGTGTTTTAATGTATGTACCAGTTTTCATACTGGTATGTAATTTCATACATATATTTTGATATTCCGATATGCCAGAACTAATTTCATAATAATCATGTTTTTTTATGTATGCCAGAACTGGCTTTCATCACATATAAATACGAGTGCATGTTTCCCTTCTATCTATGAGTATGTAATGTGTTTGTGAATAAATACGAAAAATAATAACTTATGAAAGTAGAAAAAAACACGCATACAATGTTCCGTGTCATTGTTTATATGAAATATTTCTTCTTGCAGAAAGTTTTCTTTTTCATTCCATTCCATTCCATAACCATTAAAATAAATATTTCACACAATATTTGATATTTTCTAAATCCCACTGTAGTAAAATAATGTAAAAAGACATATGCAATTTGTACTTTCTAATTATTTATTACTGTTATTTATCACAAGCGCAAAAAACCGCCTCCGTGGTCGAGGGGTTTGATCCCCGGGAGATGCTTTGGTAGTTTAGCGCGGAGGAAGGTAGTCTATACTGGTGTAACTCTCCAGGAACGATGGTTAGGAAACTACTCGCCTATATGACTGAAATACTGTTGGAAAAAGGCGTAAAATGAAACAAACAAACAAGCGCAAAATTTCTGATTTAACAGAAGATGTACAAGGGAGTTTGTCAAGTTAGCATGAGAAACACTAAAATGTTGCAGCTTTTGTAAAAATTCATAGTAGTTTTCTTTAATTTTTGTACTTTCCTTTAACATTATACATGCCTTTTTATATAATATTATTATTTTAGATAATTTATCTATTCCCTAATTTCCAAACATTTCTACAATCTATGCTGGAGTATATCTATTAAATCTGTGTGTAAATTTCTAGCTAAAACGTTGTGCAAAAACATGACAAATTTAACAATCTGATAAAAGGTAAATAAATGTTTATGATTTTCTTTCTGATAAACATAAAATGTTATACCGTTATCTATAAAAAAAGTTATACCATTATCACAAAAAGCCCGCAAGTTGAACCAATATTACATGTACAAAATGGCATACCAAATGGTATACCGTCACCGCCAAATTTTCTACCATTATCATCAAATGTTACTATAGCAAACTGAACTTTTGTGCAAAAACCCCAAATTCCCCAGTGATGTCATGAAATTTAAACTAATAAGGATTATCACGAATGCGTCACACATCATGGTGACAAAACTCTTTTTCTCTCTTTCTTTTGTATTGTTGCTGCTGCTGCTGCTGTTGTTGTTGTTGTTGTTGTTGTTGTTGTTGTGAGTTTTAAAGAACATAAACTTGCAGATAGAATGAAGAAAACAAATGGTTTGACGATCTGTGTTTTGTTAGAGGTAGCACATGTATTTATAATTTCAACCAATATTTCAAATATTGATAAAGACGATAGAAATGTATCATTTGGACATTCTTACAATACTAAATACTGTCAACATATTTTTTATGGTATTGCATACCTTCCATTATGGAGTAGTTTCCTCTAACGGTAAAAAGTAAATAAAGTTATTTAAAAAAAATCACATTCAAATCATTAAAGGTACACCATTGATTGCCATCAAACAATCTTTAAACTATAAAATGATGAAGTCTGCAGATTGCCATCAAAACAATGTAAACTTATCATTAAAAAGTAAACAGCCATCAAAACAACTGTTCATTACTTTAAAGGTTAAAAGGTACAAGGGCATCAAAACAATGTAAACTGTTCAATTGAAGGTAAACAATACATTGTTATCAAAACAATGTAAACTGTTCATTTGAAGGTCAACAGTACATTGCCATCAAAACAATGTTATCGCCATTAAAAAATAATTCCAAAAAATTATTTGTATATCGACATCAAAACACTAACTAGTAAGATGTTTATCACAATCTACGTATAAATCTACACACTGTAGAAACTATTTTCCGATCTAACACTTGCAACAGGCGAAATGCATATCACCCGTTTATTGTCAGTTTAAGGTAGACACTGGTCGATATAAGTTAAATGAGAGCGCCATTGTTAACGTTCAAACATTTATTTTTGCATGTATTGCCATTAACTGAAACGCAGCTCAAATTGCCATTGTTTATGGCTGCGTTTACAGCAATTTAATAACTTTAAAGCGCGTTTTAAACGTCATCAGTTATCATTGTGAGGTAAACGTCAACTGCGCATGTCACTTCAGTAACGGAAGTGAAAGGAACTCCGAATGTTGTCACTGGTTCTCTGCTAGTTAATAAATGTAGTAACAAGCCGTACAAATCCAATCTTAGCTTCAGAAACCATTTACAATGTATTCTAGTGAATGAAGACAGACATGCGTCATCATTAATTTTGAACACGTTAGTGACGCAATACGTACGTGACGTAATGCGCAAATGACGTAACACGTAAGTGAAATGCAGTAGTTATCATAGCTATTGCGTACGTTTTTATTCGTCAATCTTTCAGTTTTTCAGCAGCTTTTTTATTATTTTGGCAAGCATGTTTGTTCTTGTCCTTAAAACTTTCACTTTTAGCTTGGCTTTGCTAAGAAATTGTTTTTGTTGATCATAGTTTATTTTTGACCAATCACGACGTTGTGTATGAATCATGGTGATGGCACGCTTGAGTTCTTTCAGTGTTTGTTTCATTAGAACACAGTACTTTTGATGGCTGACTTTTGTAAGACACTGTAAATAAAATAAAAACTGATGTTACATAACAATGAGATTGAAAACGTACTACATGTATAATGTATCGCACGCAACTTTCAATCTTACACCTGTATCGTTTGAAACTGATACTCGTATAAGAGTATGACATTTTATTACAATGTAATCATTACTAAAAAGAAATAACGTAACACTGTTTTTGTCATATAATTTTTTCGAGTTTTTCGTTATTCAAAAAAAAAATCAGGTTGAATGGCTGAGAGTGAGTATGGATGACTCGATGAGACCTGCTTTGCTGTTCTACTTACCATTTTATGACTTCATCTTTTACTTAACAATTTGCGTATATCCTATCAAAGTTACGTAATTAATTACAAACTTTGTATATCAATTTACAAATTTGCGTATTTACTTAAGATTTTACGTATTTACTCATAATTTGCGTACATGTATTTATATGTACATGTACACATTTACTTCACAATTTGCGTATTTACTTACATATTTGCACATTTACTTATAAATTTGCGTCTTTACTTACAAATTTATGCAATTGCTAAGAAACTTTGTATATTATTTTACAAATTTAAGTATTCACTTACAAATTTACGTATTTACTAAGAAACTTTGCATATCTACTTACAAATTTACGGTATCTTCTGTTTGTAGAGTAGGTTCGCTTGACCTCTATTTGTAACAACGCCACTTCCTGCCACAATCTCTGTCTTTCTTCTTTTGTCACTGTACTCACTGGAACTGTAAAAATATCACGTGATCGTTTGCATATCAATATAATAATTTATTCAATTAACATTTTACAAGCACAACAAAGCACGAAGATTCTACTGATGAAACATTTCAATATTTGCTTTAAGTTTCGTTGCCCTTTTTCTCGTTTGCACTTTCTTAAAGCGGCCTTCAGTTTTTATAACGATTAGATATGTTACTTTTAGAAAAATCGTTTCATATAGTTGTCAAATCAAAAGAAGGTTAAAAATGAAATCTTGGGACGATCACATACATAAACAATCAGGAAACCTCTCGATACCTCTAATCTACCGGTTCGCTCTCTTTATTTTAATTAGTCAAGCTGACATTTTCTATTTTTAGACACGAACGTCACCGACGAGTTATAAATAGCTCTCGGGACGCTGTTTTGAAGAATGTGATGCACTTTTCCCAAGATAAAATTAATAGTATCCTTAGTTTGAAACAGCACAGAATAGTTTTTCCAAACAGAAAATAAAAGCTAAAGGCCGCTTTAAGTAAACATATACCTTTTTCTTGCATATCAGACTGGCGTTTACGTTAGTTTTACCCATGCCGGAAATTTCATCTGGCATGGGGGTTCCAGATGAGTCGCGTGCTATACAATGGCACGATAAAGATGACGTCATTTTACCGTTATGAATGATTTTGTAATTCATACGCTGTTGAATGAAAGTAGTTACGGTTGTAATGATATAAATTTTCATTGAAAATAAAGATAAAGAATTTAAAATATAATGGAATATGGTAGAATATGCAAGAAAAAATATCTGACATGTGTTTGCGGTTCGGATCGGAATATCCGTCCCTCGGTCACCCGCCCATGGGCGGTAACTCGGCAAGCCTCGTTACCGCCCAATGGGCGGGTCACCTCGGGACGGATATTCCGATCCGAACCGCAAAATATGACAGATATTATAAATAATATATGCGTTCTTAATGCACTTTCGACTAAAATGCCATGCAACGTTTAGATACCATAAGAAATGGGTCAAGAAAGAAAGAAACAAACAAAAACGCACACAAAAAGACATCATTTAGAGCTTGGACAGAAAGATACACAAAGTTGCATTTTTAGTCCCGAAAAGGTACATACAAATTAAATATAAACAAGTTGAATGAATATAGTTTGCGGGTACATAGTTTGTTAGTAAATTTTCAATTTAGCCTATTAATATTTGATCAAAATTTGTTTATGCGAATAAAGATTAAAAACAAACAAGAGAACAAACTTCAACAAAACCAGATAATGACCAAGAATTTCGAGCAATTAGTTTCTGACCCACGGCCTAAATCCTATTTCACTATTAGTTAGAAGGATTGTGAATGACTCCCGGGCTCGAGTCCCAAGCTGAAAAATTGTCTCAAATTAACATCAACATAAAAAAAAGATATTTACGAGCAATTGGACCAATTTCGTAATCTTTGAAGATATATTTAAGATGAGGACTCCTCATTCCATTTTGTAGCTCATGTCGTATTCTAGAAATCTGTTTCTCGACTTGTTTAACGTGCTGGATGGCCTCGAAGATTGCGAATTGGCTCTTGAAATTAGTGGACTCAAAAATCTCTCCGGATGTTGACAGTCGAATGACCTGGTGATATAGAATTACAAGTTAGATTTTTACAGAAACTATACATGTTTATTAGAATTTGTGCTAAATAATCATTACAGGTCTTTGTTGATTAATTCTTATATCTAAAAAGTTCTAGGACTCCCCATGGCCGATTGGAATAGGTTTCCGCATTCGAATCACGTGTCACTCACCGATGTGGGTTTGAATCATGCCAGGAGTTTGAATTCTTTATATAAAAATTATCTACTTTTAGGAAAAAATATCTATTTTCAGGAAAAAATATCTATTTTTAGGAAAAAAAATATTTATTTTTAGGAAAAATATCTATTTTTAGCAACAACGGAAGATCGACGGCTCTACTCATGCGCAGCTGAACATTTGCTCCAGCAGCAAAGCAGGAAACATGTCGTATAAACCTTAACAGTGATGGTGTGACAATGTTTTGATAACCTTACACCAGAAAGCTTATAGTACCAATGGTAAGTTGGCGGATGACGTCATACCTTTAGTTTCCTTGGTGACCCAACTGTTTGTGCTATATCAAGAAGTTTCTCTGACATCACGTTTGTTATATTCTGACCAGAGTACGCTTTCTTCGCCTGGTCAATACCTCTAAACAATAACTGTACAATGATAACCTCATCTGTCCCAATACCTGAATATAAATATAACATACTTTAGATATTTATGGTAACTTTACATTAATATAAGGTATTCTAGATATTTATGGTAACTTTACATAAATATAGGGTATTCTAGATATTTATGATAACGTTACATGAATTTAAGGTATTCTAGATATTTATGATAACTTTACATGAAAATAAGGTATTCTAGATATTTATGGTAACTTTACATGAATATAAGGTATTCTAGATATTTATGATAACTTCACATAAATATAAGGTATTCTAGATATTTATGATAACTTTACATGAAAATAAGGTATTCTAGATATTTATGATAACTTTACATGAATATAAGGTATTCTAGATATTTATGATAACTTTTCATGACAAGTATTCGTGACAATTTTATATACAGATAAATATGATAATTTTACATAGATGTAAAATATTTATGATTTTTATGCATAAAAAATCAGATATTTTTTAATAAGGTATTCATGATAACTTTTAATATTCATTTTAAAATAGATACAAAATATTCAGGATTATTTCACACGTACGATATTCATGGTGACTTAAATGAAAACGTAAAACGCATGTACCATGTTTTATAATGTAAGATTTTAAACATGTTCTTAAACAATGAAGCCCTTCTAAATTCTTTTTACGTGCCTGTACTTGTGTACAATGCAATACAGAGTACGGACAACACATTAAAGAGTATGGAAAACACGGCAATGAGTATGGACAACACAGTATAGAATACGGACAACACATTAAAGAGTACAGACAACAGAGTAAGGACAACAGAGTACAGACAATACAGCACAGACAACACAGCATAGAGTTCGGGCAACACAGCACAAAGTACGGACAACACACCACAGAGTATGGGCAACACAACACAGAGTTAGAGAGTACGGACAACACAGTATAGACTATGGACAACACAGCACATAGTACGGACAACACAGTACAGAGTACGGACAACACAGTACAGGTAATGACAACACAGCACGGAGTATGGACAACACAGTAAAGAGTACGGACAACACAATATACAGTACGGACAACATATCACAGATTACGGACAACACAGCAAAGAGTTCGGACAACACAGCACAAACTACGGACAACACAGCACGCAGTATGGACATAACAGCACAGAGTACGAACAACACAGTACAGAGTATGGACAACACGGCACACAGTACGGACAATACAACACATAGTACGGGCAACACAACACATAGTTCGGACATTACAGTAAATAGTACGGACAAAACAGTACAGTGTACGGACAACACAGTACAGAATACGGACAACATAGTACAGAACGTTTAACGCATTACAACAACTTAATACATGATACAACCACAGTAGCATTTATGTTCTTTTTTTTCTTCAAAATCATTTTAAAATCTTACTGATATTTTCCGTGTAGTACGTGTTGTTAAGGTACAAAGTAAACTCGTCAGGAATGCTTAAATCAGGGTTAGCTTTCAAACTATAAATCATTGGTCGAAGATGCTCCTTGTATATCCATGTTGCTGTCTTCCGTTTGAATGACAACTGTTCCGCTATGTCAGTCTGTGCGGGTAAAAACACAATTTTTTATAAGATTTTTTATAATAATACACGTTTGTAACGTCGCTTTTCATTGGATAATCGTGACGTTAATATAGTTTTATATACACGGCTGCTGTCAATGTATAGAGAAATCTCACTTTTTTCTCTTAAAAAGGAAGTTTGCAGTATTATTAATTCGTTATAAAGATTGTTGACAGGTTATATGCCCGAATATAAATGGTTGTTTGCAATAAAACCCTCGCCTGGCGGCTCGGGTTATATTTACAAACATCCGTTTATATAGGGCCTTATAACCTGTCAACAATCTTTATAACTCATAATATAGAAAATTGTTTGTTTGGGTTTTATGTCACACCAACATAGTACATGTATAGGTCATATGGCGATTTTCCAGCTTTACTGGAGGAGGAAGACCTCATTTGCCCGTCCGTGCATTATTTCATGCACGAACAGGCACCAGAGTAGAACCACCGACGTTCCGTTAGTTAGCTAGATGGCTTCCTCACATGAAAGCATCGGATTCGAACCCGCAGCGGTAAGGATCAAGAGGTTTGAAGTCGACAACATTAACCACTCGGCCACGGACGCCCTTTATACAGACAAAAAAGCAAGAGGTTTTTATCAGTCACAATATAAAGACAGCTTTCTGGTAATGGAATATAGTTAAGAATCGAAGGCATCTTATTTTCATACATTAATAATGATACGAGGCTATTATACATTGTTGTGTATAATACTGATTTCTATTGAACGAGTACGCAGCTGTCAAACCTATATTGTACGAGGTGTTGGCCGAGTCGGATACATACATGTATTTTGCAGCTGTGTATGAGTCCAATAGAATCTACAAATATCTCTACAGTTTAGTGACCAGCTAAACATTTGGTAATATAAACTCTGCTCTCAGAATCTAGATAAAATGTTAACCCTTGTTATCATTTTTTGTTGTTGTTGTTTTTTTTTTTTGTTGTTGTTTTTTATTGTTTTTTTTAATATGACATGTATGAAATTCAATAGTTACAGGGTGCCCGTATGCTATTAGTTTTTAATAGTTTCTAACTAAGCGATATTCAAATGAGATCACTTATAGGCCCTTAGACATAAAACTAGGATTTTTTTCCAGGATTTTGGGAACATAACCCATACCCATGGAATTGAGAATTTCAGCGATGAATTGTTAAAGATTCGGGGAAAAAAACATGAATAAAATTTTGAAGTGATTAAATGAATACAAACAATCACTGTCTAGGATTGCATCTTCAAACATTTAAGCACCATAACAGTGACGAAGCCCTTATTTTCAAAAAATTTAGAATTTTTTATTCAATATTTTTATTTTGTAACTTTCAATTGGGAATTTTTTGCTGTGGATTGGGAAAATAATATACTATTTTCAATTGGGAATATTACCGAATATCGGTTATAAAATAAGCCAAAAAATCCCTGAAAACGTTATGTACTCGTTACGTACATTTATTTCAAAGTATACACATTTCAAAAAGATAGGCAAGAACTTTACATTAATCTTGCGTTTATATCTGCATGTCATTAAAAATAAAACTTAAATAATTTAAGGTATTTATGCGGACACTTTCCAAAACACGCATTAATCTACTTCAGGAACTTTATAAAATGTGAAAATTAATTTTTAAAACTGATGACTAATGACTATATAGAATTTATTCTATCCGCTTACCGCCATGTTGTTAAAGGGACTCCACTAAGGTTTAAAAGTCTAAAAGCATATCATTTGAATTTCTTACTCAAATGAGCTGGGGCACTTTAAACAGAAATATAAATTATGCAAAGATAGTTAAGAAAAATACTTTGAAATGAATTGAAAAAATCGTATTTTTATGCTTTTCTAAGCCCGATTTGAGTGAAAGGTTTTTAAACGCTTTTCATTTTGGGTCCTTTTTTTACAAATTGAATAAATATTCTGAAAAAAACAAAAGTGCACGAATGATCTGAAATTTTGCGCAAAGATTAGTGGTCTAAACCTGTATCAAATGGTACATTTATCTGGAAAAAATATTTTCAGTACCATCATGTCAAAAAAACTCAGTGGAGTCCCTTTAAAGATACAAAAATGATCCGCGTCACGACAAAACCAACATAATGGGTTTGCGGCCAGCATGGATCCAGATCAGCCTGCGCATCCGCGCAGTCTGATCAGGCTCCATGCTGTTCGCTTACCAACTCTATTACAAGTAGAGAAACTGATAGCGAACAGCTGGTCGCAAACCCATTATGTTGGTTTTGTCGTGACGTGGCTCAAATGAATGAGCGTTAATTTGGTTGGTAGGTAGTTGGTAGTTGAGTATTCGAATAACCAACTACCTACTAGCTGATAGATGGTTATTTGTAATTCCCAACTATTTAACAGGTGGTAGTTTGTAATTCGTAATTCCCAACTATTCAACAGGTGGTAGATAGTAATTCAATCCACTATTACCGGCATGAAATGTTAGACCACATCATACATTTTAAACACGGAATAGAGGAGGGGATTTAGTTGCTTATCGCGCGAATCCCAACTATCTAACAGAAGTTCGAATTACCTTGTGGTAGGTAGTTGGGGATTCAAACAAATAAGCAACTGAGTCCCCTGGTCGACGTAGGGAGACGAGGTGATACCACTTAGTAGAATTCATATATCTTGTCATATATATGTAACTTTTTGTGGTTTTTTTTAGAGACTACCTACCAGAACCTAGAATAACCAACTACCTTCTGGTTGGTAGTTTGGGATTCACGCTAATTACCAACTGAGTTCCATGGCCGATTTTTAGTGAAGGGGTTGTTACCATATTATAGAATACACATCTTTAGTTATAAAACGGTAACATTTGTTTAAGAAAAATACTTTGTTTTCGGACGGACGAATATATGCAATATCCGAATTACCAACTACCTTTTAGTATGTAGTTTTGTATACAGACGAAAAAAAACAACTCAGTCCCCTGGACGACATAGGGAGACAGGGTTTTTAAATGTTGAAGAATACATCTATCTTTCTATATTCCCGTCATATTTATTCTGGAAAAAATACTTTCTGTTTTTAGGAGTAAACATGCAAAGTTCGAATTACCAACAACCTTCTGGTTGGTAGTTGTGGGTTCACGCGAATAACGAACTGTGTGCCTTGGACGACGTAGAGTGCGGTGTGACACCATTTGGTAGAATTCAGTAACATATCTGTTTTAGGGTTTTTTTCTTCGCATATTATCTGTTTTGTTGGGGGTTTTTTTCGCATATTTTGAAATTTATTTGGTATTTTTCTGATATGTTTTTATTGCCTGTCAACAGCCTTACTTATTTTCTTTTTACTACACATTTGTGTAAAGTTCTCTATCATAACCCCTCGACGCAAAATATTGTAAAATTTAGACTAACCGCTATATATAACTATTTATGTGTTGAAAATTAAATATGCATTACTCAATTTAAGTTTAGCTAATGTTAGTAATGTAATAAAAGGATTCCAGATTAGTTATTAAATCAGAGCGGGCGCTGTGGTCCAGTGGTAACAACTGTCTGACTCAAAATCTAGGGTTGCTAGTATCGATCCCCCGCTATCCACTAAATTGCTAATATCTTCTTACTCACTAAAAATACTAAACCTCTTTCGTATGATGATTATAAAAACTACTCATTACACACATGACCTACATCACACAAGCACGAACACAAAAGACACAACTCAAATTATTGACAACACTGACAGACAGGACACTATGACAACACTGACACACAGGACACTACTGACAACACGGACAAACAGGAAACTACTGCCAACACTGACAGACAGGAAACTACTGTAAACACTGATAGACAGGACACTACTGACAACACTGACACACACGACACTACTGACAACACTGACACACAGGACAGGCAACTACTGACAACACTGACACACCCGACACTACTGACAACACTGACAGACAGGACACTTCTGACAACATTTACACACAGGACACTACTAACAACACTGACACTACTGACACACAGTACACTAATGACAACAGTAGCACTACTGACACACAGGACACTACTGACACAAAAGGACACTAGTAACAACATGAGACTTCTGACAACACTGCCACTACCGACACACAGAACACTACTGACACACATGACAACACTGACACAACTGACAACACTGACATACATGACACTACTAACAACACTGTCACATTACTGACAACATGACACACAGGACCACTCAATGACAACAGTGACACTACTGGCACACAGGACACTACTGACACAAAGGACACTACTGAACAACAGTGACACTACTGACACACAGGACACTACTGACACACAGGACACTACTGACACACAGGACACTAATGACAAACAGTGACACTACTGGCACACAGGACACTACTGACACACAAGGACACTACTAACAACAGTGACACTACTGACACACAGGACACTACTGACACACAGGACACTACTAACAACACTGACACTACTGACACACAGGACACTTCTGACAACACTGACACACAGGACACTAACACTGACAACACTGACACACAGAACACTACTAACAACACTGACACACAGGACACTACTAACAACACTGACACTACTGACACACAGGACACTACTGACAACACTGACACACAGGACACTACTGACACACAGGACACTACTAACAACACTGACACACTGACACACAGGACACTACTAACAACACTGACACTACTGACACACAGGACACTACTGACAACACTGACACACAGGACACTACTGACAACACTGACACACAGGACACTACTAACAACACTGACACTACTGACACACAGGTCACTTCTGACATCACTGACACTACTGACACACATAACACTTCTGACAACACTGACACACAGGACACTACTGACACACAGGACACTACTTACACACTGACACACAGGCTACTACTGAAACTTACTGACACCAGGACACTATGAGCCACAGGGCACTCACTAACAGCATGAAACACTGAACACAGCGCTACTCATGACAATTAATGACACACAGGCTTCTACTGAACACGCTGACAACAGGGTACTACTTCGACAATACTGAACACAGGGCACTTCTGACACATGACAAACAGACACTACTACACAGCTGCAACACTGGACACCAGGCTTCTACTGACACATGACAACATGATACTAATTGACACTACTGACACACAGGACACTTCTCAAACACTAACGCGACACACTAACGCAGGACACTACTAAAACACTGATACACAGAACTATTCACACTGACACGCAGGACACTAGTAAAATCACCGACACACAGAACTTCTCACGCACTTACGCGAGACACTACTCAAACACTTAGACACAGGACACTTCTCAAAGACTGACACGCAGGACAGTATAAAAACACTGACACATAGGGCACTACTAAAACAATGACACGCACAACATTAGTAAAACACTAACACACTGGGCTTTACTAAAACACTGACACGCAGGACATTATTAAAACACTGACACATAGGGCACTTCTTAAACACTGACACGCAGGACATTATAAAAACACTGACACACAGGGCTTTTTACTAATGCACTTACACGCAGGACACTACTCAAGCCTTGACACACAGGATACTATTCACATACTGATTTTACACACAGGACACTGAAAAGAACACAACTCATACACTGACACACAGGAAAGTACTCACACACACAGCACTACTCAAACACTGACCTGACACACAGGACACTCCTTAAACCCTGACAAACAGGGCACTGCTAAAAGACTGACCTGACACATAGGGCACTTTTCATACACTGACACACAGGACACTACTGATATAGTAAATATGACTCACAGACCATGCATCCATTATGGTCAAACATATCATACAGAATAAAGGAGGGGACCAAGTTGGTTATTCGCGCGAATCTCAAACTACCAACCAGTACTTGGTAATTCGAACTAAGCATGTTTTCCCTCATTAGGAATAAACAAAAACAAAAAAACAACAGAAAATAATATTTCAGAATAAAAGTAACAATTAAGTATATGACAAGATTGTTTAATTCTACCAAATTATATCAAATCGGCTCCCTACGTCGACCAAAGGACCTAGATGGTGCTTCGCGTGAATCAACAACTACCTATCAGAAGTTTGATATGTTAAAACATTTCAAACTGGTGATAGTGGATTTAATTACCAAGGATCAGCTGTTTTGGAAATTACCAATTACAAGCAAGTAGGTAGTTGGTTATTCGAATATTCAACTACCAATAACCTACCTACCAATGACGCTCATTAAAAATGAATCAAAAGAGTTTACAAAATTTCATATCAACAGTGAACTGTTTCCGATATTTTTGGATGGAGTGCTTTGAGGTTTTGCACTGCGACACCGAAATTACACGAAACTGACGTCAACATGGCCGGATTTAAAATACTGTACATGTAAGTGGGCCAGCAAATAAACATCTCTGTATAGATTGAAGAAAAAATAAGTGATCTTGCAAACAAATTTTAAAAAATTCGCTTACCGCCACGCAATCACCTTTGGCAAGCAAACCGAAATATTGGGCGGACTTGACGTCACACATTCTTAAATATTGCATCATTTGCTGGACATCATGGACAGGTTTTAACTGTTGTGAATGAACCTTCTTATATCTGAACTCTTCCTTCCCTTTTCTACTCGGAAATGAGCTACAAATAAAAATGAGTGAGACTAAAAAAGGGTTTGAGCAACACACCAAATACCGTATTCCTGTATTTACCGGCGCTAGAATGATTAAATGCTAACGGAATGAAATTTAAAGCACCACGCCTCCAGATACATGTTAATTTTCATGAAAAAATTGGAAATGTATTTAAAAGTTAAAAATTAATGTTAGGTGAACAACTAAAGTAATTTACATATTGAAATCGGCACTTACGATCCACGAAAATTAACAAAAAGTGGTCAAGATCAGCAAAAACAGTCCTTACTGCGTTAGTAACGCAGTAGTAATATGGTGATAAAATACTGCAAAATTAGTCTTAAACCGCACATAACATGTAAAATATAACGTGGATCTTGAATGTTTTTATCTTTATTAAAAGTTTACTGAATTTTTGTCAATATCGATTTTTTTAAAATATTTTGGCTCATCTGGAGGCGTGCAGCTTTAAAAGGTCTTATTCATCTTTTCACAACGATTTATGTATGATAATGAATGAAAAATGTAAGAATCGGCGAAAACAAAGATATTTGTCTATTTATTGATCATGATTTCTGAAAGCGTCTGGAGGTATTGCTCCAGTCCTGTATTAAGTTAAATCCAAGACAAATTACTTACAGTTAGACCATGTAACTTACTTTAATTTTTGGATAAATACTGACAAAATAATTCTGAAAACATTTCGATATAAAAATGTAATAAAAAATAGAGACATAAAAAAACTTTCAGAAAAATTATACGCGCAATAAATTCAAATAAGACATTTTAAAAACTTTAATGTAAACAATTTACAGAACGGAATTCATCACAACAAATGGAGGAACAAAATAATACGCAAAAACAACATAGTACAAATCTCGAAAAAGAACAGAACACCGTGATTTATCGAAACAAACTTAAAACATTAAACAACATAGCAGAAACATCGAATTATGAAAACAACAGAACACATATTGTTTCAACTAGTTATATATGTGCCTACCATGCTGTGATGTTTCAAAAACATTTGGCGTAGTAATTTTTCAAATCTTTTATAATTGGTTGAACAGTTAAAAAATACAAAGGGTGAAAACTCTAAATATTACCCACATATTCTTAAATAAATCTACGTAAATGCACTTTATATATAATATTGTATAGATTTTTTATATATTTGGCATTAGAGGAACGGAAAGGCAAAAATGAATTTAACATCCTTTTGTTTTGTATCAGAGATATTAGAACGCACATGCGTGAAATATTACTCTCATTGTCATGGGATAATGGTAATCTAAAAAGGTTAATATTATATAAGATCGATTTTTGAAAATGTTGTGGGCTAAATATATAATTAACATCGGCAAACATTTAGCAAACGACTCAAGACCTTAATGCTTTCCTGTTACGTCCAAATAATTCAATAAGAAACACTTGTTTGCTGGCGTATTTATACGAAAATTCGGACTAAATAAGAGTAAACAGGCTTACCAATCTTCTGGATATGGGCCTTCTGGATACTGGACGATTCGATGAGCACACTGGCCAAGATGCAATGGTTCACTAAATCGTCTAAGATATTCGTATGCAGGTAACTCCAAACGATCACATACGCAACTGTAATAAAGAAAATAAACACTGCATAAGATATTCGTATGCAGGTAACTCCAAACGATCACATACGCAACTGTAATAAAGAAAGTAAACACTACATAAGATATTCGTATGCAGGTAACTCCAACGATCACATACGCAACTGTAATAAAGAAAATAAACACTGCATAAGATATTCGTATGCAGGTAACTCCAAACGATCACATTCGCAAATGTATACGATAAAACTATAGAAAAATACTAGTACATGTAGTCTAATGATCGCTTACCGCATTGGTTCAAACCCCGATTGCGGCAAACTGTTGTGCCATTGGGCAAGAAACTTTACATTCATTGCTTAGTACTGGTTGGTTCAAAACCAACACAATCAATATAAAATGAATTCTGTATGAAAAAGGGAATAAAATGAATAAAATTTAATTGTAGTACAATTAAAGCTATTGTGAATTTATACCAAACTTTGTACAGCAGAGTACATTAACTAGAACAAGAACTGATTGTTTTGAAATAGACAGGCTTGGCTGACCTTATTGTGTAGTTCACGTTTAATGTTGAAACCTAAAACTGTTTTTCAAATACGAAATTCAGACCCATGCGCAGCATAAAAGAATAGACATGGTGCAACTAGAGTAATAAAAATCTGTAGAAAGCCAAGAAATACTTGAAAAAATAGAAGTTTTTGGCGTAAAGTTTAAATTTTCAAAACTGCAATTCTCATGAAAATGATTTTACTTTTAGCATAAAATTATAATCATCAAAATGAAAATGGCCATGCACCTGCGCAGAGGGGAAGAACAATTTTAAAAGAATAATTAAGCAAGCGAAGTTTTCAAGCCAATGAAAGTTTCTTTATGATGAAAGAAAAATAGTTTTCCTAAAGAAACGTACATGTTATGCGAAATAATAGATGCATTAAAAAAAAGAACTAGGAATAACTAAGAACAGTTTATGAGGTGAAATATCAGGTACGCTGGAGGGTAGGAGGCAGTGGGGTGCAGTTGAGGGCGTAAAGATCATAAAGATATTATGTCGATCGATGAAAGCAAAAATGATTGATATTCTCTTTACTCACACAATCAGTAAAACTTTAAAAAAAAATTATGCTATCTTATGAACCTAAAATTGTATATTAAAAAAGTAAAAAATTCATTTCTTTTTTTTTCAATTAAGATATATAGAAATGATTACTTTTTTTCCTCTTAAACGCACCTGTTTCTTTTGTAAAATCGGTTACGTATTCATTTTCATTTCAGTGAAAATGGCTTTGAAAATTCTTTGAAATCTGATAACGGATAGAGAAACATCCTTGTAACACAGACCTGTATTTTAAGAATTCCAAGAGATGAAAAAAAACACGTTAATTTAATCATTAAATAGACATTCTTTTTACATTAAGTGCAGTGAATCGTACGAAGAATCCGGTATAATTAGGATCTTAATAATATTTTCGTCAATAATTCAGGGGATTTCATTACAGATCTAAGTACAGAGCTTAAAACATTGCTTGACTTTTCATAAAAGTCGTGGGAAATCTTCGCGCACAATAGTTACTTTCAGACAAGTTGACGCGACCCATTTTCAAATCTAAAGCTATTTATCTAGTATATCTTTTATATTCTATAAGGGTGTTATCAAAATCGTTATTTGTAATAAATGTATTTTATGAGTATTACATCTTCAAAAGGTTTGCTCCTCGGTAATATGCAATCTCTCTGATATACTTTAGAACGTTCTGTTATTGCCTCTGTCAAGGCTATTATTCCGCTAAACTGTATAGGATACATTAAAAATCCCTAGATGGTGCACGCCTTTTCAAAGAACGCTAATACTCATCTAAAATGATAGTTTGTTGCTAGTGGTGTGGTTTGTTTGTGTTGGTTGGTTGTTTGAATTGATTGATTGATTGGATTTGGTTTGGTTTGGATTTTACGGCATACCAACACAATTAGGGTCATATGCGCCGAAACAGGAAAGAGGATTTTGTCTAAACTCGGGTGTTACAAGCTTAAAGCAACATCAGCGGTCAAAACTACCTCACGTGCTAAAGCTAAAAGAGAAAAAGACTTCAGTGACTCGAACCCATTTAATCGCCTCCTACGATTACGCATAAATAGTGGCTGCAATTCTTATGCCTCCCTAAACCACAAGGACACTACAAAATTTTAACAGCGGTTTTATTTTACAGTTATATAAAATTGCATTAGCCTGTATGGCCAGCTCTATAGGGAAGTGGTGTTGTCGATATAAGATGCTTGAGCTTGAATCCTTGGCGCGACATATATATTTTTACCGGAATACTTTATTAAAGAAACTATACATGTATATGTTGTTTCCATTGTTTAAAATGCTTCATGTGGAAAAAGTTGACTCTGACTTGTGTAAAACTAATTGAAGTAAACAGAATTCAGAGTTCCTTAAGCTGCGGTCTCACTTACTCCCGGCGAGCCAGGACCATCCGGTAATACCGGGATTGATCGGGACGTTGGGTTAATTATTTTGTTTCTGTCACACTTACCCACAGCACTACGTAGTTCAACTAACACCACCTCGATGCACCGCTCCGAGGATCTTCCAGGCCGAGGCCAGGATGAAGCTACGGTTTCATGCGGAACAAGCCCCGGTTGACCAGGCAGAGCCCCCGGTCTCCAGCAGAGTCAGGGCGATCCAGGCAGAGACGCGTGAACCGGTGGATGAAACGCTCACCCGAAAATGATACATGATAATATTTTTATTTATATAATTCTATTGTCCAGAATAGTAATTTTATTTGATATTTTCTTGAAAATCTTATGCCATATGGCTATAAGGGAAATGGGAAGGGTTTTAATACAAACAAGTGCAATCATCGCAAATTGTCGTTCTTCTTTTGAAATGATCCGGGCTTTGCCGGGGCTCTACCGGGATCAACCGTAGCTCTACCTTTATCCTCCGGGGCTCTGCCTGTAGTTACCGGGGCTCTGCCGGCATATACCGGGGCACTACCGTAGCGCTACCGTAGCTCTACCGGCTATATCATACCCCGGATGATCCCCGGAGGATGCCGGCAGAGCCCCGGAGGATGACGATGGAGCTACATTTGATCCCGGTAGATCCCCGGCAAAGCCCGGTTCATTTCAAAAGAATCACGACAATTTGCGATGGTTGCACTTGTTTGTATTAAAACCCTTCCATTTCCCTTCTATCCAGTCTTGCATAAGGATTTTTCAGTAAATCAACATGAATTACTATTCTGGAACAAAAGATATTATATTAAATAAAAATTATGTATCAATGTAATCATTATCCACCGGGGATCTACCGGGGCTGTGCCTGGATCGTCCTGGGCTCTGCCGGGGCCCTGCCTGGATCGACCGGGCCTCTGCCTGGGTCAACCGGGAACGACCGGGGAAGCACCGGCATGAACCGTAGCTTCACCTGCGCTCTGCCTGGATGATCCGGAGCGCATCCTGGGTGGTTAGTTTGGAATTACCGTAGTGCTGCAAGGGTTAGTGTGACCGCAACAATAATTTCAACCCGGATCGTCCCGGATCATCCCGGTAACTTACCGGGATGGTCCTGGGCTCTGCCGGGAGTAAGTGAGACCGCAGCTGATGAACAGTCCTTCGGTATACGATTGGAAAAATGTAGCACTGAATTAAACAAAACAAAAAAGTGTACAGAACTGTGCCGGTGCAGCGCCCAAAAACTTTGTCGCGTTTTAAACTACACGAAACAATCATTTCATTGAAAAGTTTACTTTAGCACTTTAAACCGATAGAAAGGATTAAAAAATGTAAGACATGTACTCAGAATTAATTGAAAAAAATTTCAATGCTATTCTATGTCCGATTTGAGTTTAATTGTTTCAACGCCATTTTATAAATCAGGAAAACTGAGTGAGCGAATGATATATAAATTGCAATTTATTGGTATGGACCTTAATATCAAATGAAATAAAAATGTCGAAAAATTGTTTCCAATCCCTCCATATCAAAATAAAAACTTCAGTGGAGTCCCTTTTTAAAAGCTTTAACCTATAGAATATGCATGTAAAGATGGTTATCTTTTGTAAATGACATTGGCTATCCGCATCCTGACCCATCCATCCGCCCATCCCCTCTTACCAAGAGTAAATTAGTAATCAAACTTACCACGTATTTTTCATTTTATCTAACCAAAAGTTAATATTTTAGCGGAATGAGAATAATGTACATAACAATAAGCGCAAGACACAAGAACGTATATATGAGCCCAGCTTGTGTTCTATTACAAATAAAGCGTTATTGTATATTTATTGGAGCCAATCATCATAAAGATTTACTTACCACGAAAACAATATAATTAGATATATCAGAACTTCCATTATCAGACACGATGGTTTCTTTTTGAAATAAACCACAGACACCGTGCAGATAGCTGAGACAGATGTTGTCGTTATCCTAGAATAATCCTGGCTATCGTCTGCGCTTATCTTCTTATCTCTGATTTTCCAAGCTTCCGTATAGTTTAATGACTGTCTGTAAAATAAAATTAAAAAACTTTATGTATATATGCCGGTATTTTAACCCATAACCTGTTGGAATGGAAAGTTATTAGCCTTTGCCACAATTAAACTGCAGACAGGCTAGGTTCTATTCTTCTGGTAGCTATAATTTTTGTATTATTATTATGCTAAAATCCCTTTAACTTTGAATGGACTGTTCCATACTCAAAGTAGGGCAAACCCATTACACAGAATCAGCAGGGTTATACCGTACCAGAAACTTTTAAATTACCATAGCTCTGTGGTTATATACACTCATTGACCCCTGAATCGTAAAACATAAATTCTTATATGAATATAACGTAGAAAAAAATATTTCGGTCTTTTTTCTTCTTTTTCTTTTTTCGTTGTTTTTGTTCTTGTTGTCAGTTTATAACAATCACTAACGACTTAAGTCATGCCCAGGTGACGTCAAATCATTTACAATTTAAATCATACTCGGATATGTCAAACCACGTGCTATTTCAATATTTAAATTTCTATTTCGGTTATGTCAAATCATTTACAATTTAAATTATTTAAATTATACTATTTTACGCCAAACCACGTGCTGTGTAAAATCCTATCCGGGTTATACCAAACCATTTACAATAAAAAAAATATACTCGGATATGTCAAACCACGAGCTATTTCAATATTTAAATTTTATCCGGGTTATTTTAAACCATTTACAATTTAAACTATACTAGGTTACGTCAACCCACGTGCTGTTTAAAATCCTATCCGGGTTATACCAAACCATTTACAATAAAATTATACTACCGCGTACGACTTATATAAAATAATTTAATTGATGTTAAAAATTAGACCTAAGATATGTTCAACTCATATTAAACTTAGTCATTGCGTGTTTGGCTGTCATTAGAACAAATGAACAAACTACATTGCTTGTTACCGTTTTTATTAAATGTCAGATGTCAAATTAAATATTTGAGGTTTTTAAGTATGAAAAAACACATTAGTATAGTACAAATGATAATCTGCAAATTCAATTTCGTAATATTTACACATTTAAGACCCCATTTTACAAGTAAGTACACTTTATATTGAGCAGTTTTTTAAATGATCCAACCCATATAATTTTGCGGTTACTATAAACGATTTATCTTAAATACTCCTCAGATTTTTTGTGTATGTGTGAACATATGCATTGTGCCAATATTTATTTGAAAACATACACCAAAAACCTATAAAATAAATATGAGACGCACCGCAAAACGACCACTAATTTTGCTAGACCGTGTTTTACGACATTACCGCAATTCGTACTCGTCCCTGTCCGGCTCGTACGTCACTATTTTCTTTATTCCTTAACACTTTTATGATAATTCAGGTGTTCTATTTCAAACTTTGCCTATCTGTTTACCTTAAATACTCGGTGCGATTATCCGGGATAGCTTAAAGATTTTAAGTCAAAATTTTAGTGATAACCAAAATATTTTAAATACAAAACACCTTCATACAGGTGAAAATATCCCTGCGCCAAGGCAAGTTTTTTATATATATAAATTGCGTATTAGAAGATCTCAGGGATTTGTTACGGAGCCAAATCTTAGTGTGAATCTGTCTTAACCGATTATCATGTTAACCGAACGTCTCACTCAAATCTCTCTGAAAATGTATTTATCGATTTTCCCCACCCTTCTTGATTAGAAAATATATAACTTACCAAATCTATGTTTCTAGCTATTGTAGAGGCCTCATCGTTATTTATTTATTTATTTATTCATTCATTCATTCATTCATTCATTCATTCATTCATTTATTTATTTATTTATTTATTTATATATATTTATTTATTTATATATATATATATTATATATATATATATTCATTTCGTCAGTTTTCTTATCAATTTATTACTTTAAACATTTGGCAATAACTGGGTAAACATTATTTTTTGTATACAGTAAACATTATATCACGCAATGTGCCATATTATCAATAATAAGGAGTGTTGGCACGTAAGTTAACATTATATTAAATAATACAACATTATGTCTATACCTAATACAACATTATGTCCCTATCAATATTATATCGATATAATACAACATTATATCAATATAATACAACATTGTGTCTATACAATACAACATTATGTCTATATAATACAACGGTATATCAATAAAATACAACATTATGTATATATAATACAACATTATGTATATATAATACAAAATTTTGTCTATAAAATGCAACATTATATCTATATTATACTACAATAAATCTATATAATACAACAATATATCTATAATACAACATTATAGCTATATAATACACAATTATGTCTATATAATACAACATATTATCGATATAATACAACATTACATCTATATAATACAACATTGTGTCTATATAATACAACATTGTGTCTATATAATACAATATTGTATCTATAAAGTTCAACATTGTTTCTATATAATACAACAATATGTCTATATAATACAACACTATGTCTATGTAATACAACATTATATCGATATAATACAACATAATATCTATATAGTACAACATGGTGTCTATATAATACAGCATTATGTCTATATAATACAGCATTATGTCTATATAACACAACATTATATCTATATGATGCAACAATTTATCTACAAAATACAATACTATATATATATAATATACATTATATCTATATAATACAACATTATATCTGCATTCTAGTAATACAACATTTTATTTACATAATACAACTTATTGAAAATGATTAAGTACACTAGATTCAATCTTGTAGATATTCAAGCTGCCACTAAGTCCTGCAGGTTCAAATCCCGACTCAGTCTTGAATAAGTTTGATAAAGAAGATATCAAAGTCGGTGTTTTCTTTTGATCTGTACCGAGTGGAACATTGTGTCCTCCATCAACAAAGAAAACTTAACAGTCGTAACATATAATTAATACATATATTATATGTGTATTTGAAGCTAAACCTCATTCCCTAAGAATTCTCAGCTCTAGAAGTGGTTACTGAATCACTTAGCCATCTTTACATCGTGGTTCAAAAAATAACACGTTCAGGTCTTTCATGTTTAAAACATGGATTAAAGCCAACTTAAAAGTTGAAATGATATATACATACAAAATGTATATTGAAATAAAATGACACAAAATAGTATAAACTATAAATACATGTAGATAAATGTGAAACAAAATAGTAAAAAATATACATATTCATAAATATGAACTGAACTGAAAATTAATCATCATCATCATCATCATCATATCATCATCATCATCATCATCATTATTATAATCATGTAGTAATGTAGCAGAAGTATTTACAATATTTTCAAGCTAGCTTTTGGAGATTCGACATTTCGAGAATTCAGCTAACATGGTAATTTATTTCATTATTTTAATTGATGGTTAAAGAACTTGTTTTTAATAGTATTTTAATTTCATTATGACCATCAATAATATAATGTAAAATCGTATCCTGTTATATCCAACCGGTCAAAAATATATGTGATTAAGACAAATTAGTACTTATATTATATGATGTTTTGCAGTTTTCCATTTGAAATTATAAGAAAAAGAATAAAAGAAACGGAAAAAACGTCAATGAAACGGAAAATTTTTAATGAAACGGGAAAATGTATTTATAAGACACTTATAAATATCAAAGAAAGTAAAAATTGGAAAACAAATAGGACAAAATATAAAAGAAATGAAAAAAAACAAAACAAAAAAACAACAGAAAAAAAAACAGAAAAAATATAAAAGAAATGAAAAAATAATAAAAGGAAAAATGTGTATAAGAACGTGGACATGGTAATGTGTATATTTTTATGACGTCACTATCAAACGTCTGGACCCCTATGTACCCGTATCGCATTTTTTGCTGCCATATATTTAATGACATGTTCATAATCATTGTTAAACAGGGTAAATTATTTTGATATTTTTACCCTTTCTATACTCAAGATACACTTTTGTTCGTTTACTACATAGCAAGAATTCTTTTGCCAATGACGTCACAGTGCAATAAACAAAATACAGCGATGCCAAAAATGTTATTATGACAATTATCACCCTTCAAAAATGTTCTCCTTAAAACTTAACTCAAAATAAACTATATTGATACGAAAAAGTATAAATCTATAGAAAAATAATACCTTCAATATTGTCTAAAAATCCTTAAAATTCCATCAATGTAACATATAACTTGTATCACTTGAATCGACTATAGCAAAACACTGAGATTTCCTACGTAAAAACAACCTGTTTTATATATACGCATCCCAATCCTTGCAGCGTAAACAATTCGACAGTTTCATTCATTAAATTACAGTAACGTAGTAACATCAATATGGTTGGAGGTTAGGTAGAGTACAATAGCGCTAGTTTAAAGTAAACGGTAATGCCGCTAAGAGATGATAATTTGATACTGTACTACATTTTTTGTAAATGTTTTAGTATAAAACATCCATACAATGGTTTGTAGTAAAGTTTATCTAGACGTATCATCAGCAATACATCCTGAAACTGTATGACGATTGTTCGCATTCTTCGTACGTAATTTCGGTAATGTTCGTGTGTGCGTGTGTTTTTGTAAGGTGAACATAAGACGGTTTTTGTACCCCTTGTGACATAAATTCCCCCTGCTAGACTATTGTATTCCCGCAGTGTCATTGTTTATTATATGATCTAAAACAAATATTTTGCCTGTATTGAAATCGTTTGTATTAATTCGAATTTCAAACGAATTCTTCACAATTTTTCTATTGAATTTCAAACGAATAATTGTATGTAATTATAAACGAAATTATTTCACTGAATTTTAACAAATTATTTCATTGAATTAAAGTCATACTTTTATTGAATATTAAATGAACCATTTTATTCAATTGGACTTATTACTTTACTAAATTTAAAACGAACTATTTTATATAAATTAACGAATAATTTTATTGAATTGAACTACATGTATTTTATTTAATAATAGACGAAATCATTTACGCAATTTAATTTCAAAACGAATTATTTGATTGTTTTATTGAATTTTGAAACAAAATCGAATTATCTTTTGAAAAGAGAAACGTCAACAAATTCATTAAAATATTGAATTTCAAAGGAGTTATTTAACAAAATTTGAAACGAATTCTTTACTAAATTTTAAAAGACTTTTTTCATTCGACTGAACAAATTTTAAAGCTGCATGATGAGCCAAAATTTGAAGAAAAAAACTTGTACTCCAATTTTAAGAAAAAGTTTTGTTTTTTTTTTAATCCAAGATATAAGTAATTATTTACATGGTATGTGTGATTAATGACTGATTTTGCATAATTAATCATCATATTGCGGTATGGGCTATTTTTACATATTTCGACCTCTTTTTTGCTAATTTACATTTGTTGTAAGTGCCGTTTGCAATGTGTAAAATAGTTTCTTTGTTCACTTTATAATATTTTACTTTTTTCAAGCATTTTCAAAATTTTCATGAAATTAAGCATGAATCTGTAGGCGTGCTGCTTTATACGGCATTATTGGCGACGCCGGTGAGCGGCGTCGTCTCTTATGGAACGCTTTTTATTTTGGCCTATGGAAGGAGCTGTTATTATTAGCAGTTAATGCCATGTTGTGTTAATTAGTTTTATTTTGATTCGTAAATATCAAGTAAACAAATATGTTGTTATATTTGTATTTAATAACTTTATGTAAAAAGCATGTCCATTGTGATATTAATTTCACGAAATTGCAGGCTCAGTTTAACAGCTTGTCCCTTAGTTACTAAAACCCGGATTTCGAATATCGTTGTGGTCTACATTGATGCAATATCCATTCATTCTTTCATTTATATATTTTCAAAATTTTCCTACAAGAAGAAAGTGCACCTGCAAATGAGTACTAGGGTAGGTAATGAACTGTTGTCAACGAATATCCTATTGATTTTATCCATACTACGTTTATCTGTTGCACAGAATGGTTGTTTTGACAAAGTGTACCAGTATCCGGATGTTGAAAGCTATCCGATTTTCTGCGATTACTGCTGTCACATGGCCATCTATTTTTTTATGAATACTTTACCATTATATTTGTATGGCTTAATAAAACTGAGCCTGCAACATATCATAATTTTGCTGTTTAGGGTGTTCTTTTGGGTTTCAGGTTTTCTATATTTTAAGGGGAAGTAACTCATGTTTACTAAATTATTTGTTCTTTTCTGTCTATCTTAGGTACTACTTACTATTTTTGTTGTATAACCAGTTGTAAAGTCATCAAAAGCATGTTAATGTTAATGTTAGGATTTCATATTTATTTAATAGAAACTGGGAATTATTAATGTTATGTACATACATGTTTATCTTAGTGTACTTATTCAAAGAGTTACAGTTATGTTATTATTATTAAAGGGATGAAACTTTCATTTAAAGTTATAAATGATAATACATGTATTGATTGAAAATGTCCTTAAACTTGGATCAAGCAATATAATGAATAAAGTCTCAAAAAATCATATTCTGAAAAGTTATTCTGATTTTTTTTCTAATATGTGCATAGTTCGGAAAGGATAGCTTCTGTCTTATCTATTTGTAATGGAGGGACACCGGTCTAAACCTCCCTTTCTCCTGAGTCAACTCAGACTTTTCATAGAGTAGATTGTTACTTGCCCTTGACTAAATTTTAAAGTGGATGATTTGTGCCATATGAAAATCAACATAGTACAAAAAGTAAGCGGGCGCCAGATGAAAACATGAAAATACAATCTACCACAAAGTGGTTCGTTTGTTGCATTTTCATGTTATCGCTCGGTGCCCTTGATGCAAAATACAAATCAGCCTTCATAAAATATCTTATCATAGAAAAAAGGTTAGTTTTCTATCAGTACAAAAAATAGATATTGTACATGTATTAGCACAGTTATGTTCACTTTCAAATTGAACTGTTATAAATAATGGCACTAAGCCCTTTTTAGTAAAAATGATTATTTTAATTAAGACTATGAGTATATAAGGTTTTTTTTCTTATTTATTAATTAAGAATTAATTATCTGTTAATATAAAAAAATCAAAAAGTATCTGTCATGGTTTAGAACTGTTCACTATTTAGGGGAGGAAATATGTAAGCGGCCAGATAGCTTAATAGCTACAGCTGCGGTTCATTATTCTGTGGGTCACAGGTTCGAGTTCTGGTCAAGCTGAACATTTTTTCTCATCCTGGGACTGCATGTAAGCATGAGTTCAATTCACTTTGCTCTGTAAACATAAGAAATTCAAAGACACAAATCAATATAGTGGGGAATATGTTGTGGTTTAGAACTGTTTCATTATTAAAGAGAAAATGTGTAGCTGGCGGGATAGCTCAGTTGGTCTTCTGAAAGGCATGGGTTCGAGTCATGGTCAGGGAGTTTCAGTAAGGGTTAAGAAGTGGTTTTTCAACTGACACATGTTTAATTCATTTAACAGATTGCATTAAATTTTAAATGGACAAAGGCGGTATTGCATGATACTTTGAGATCTACAATACAGGTGATACAGGTGATCACACTATACTGCACATGAAGGAGTTCTTTTTTTTCTTCAAGCATCTGCCATATGTAATGACATTCTTGCATGGTTTAAGTCTTATCTCTGATAGACAGCAGCTGGTGGATGTGGCTGGTACTCATTCTACTCCTGCTCTGAGTACCTATGGTGTCCCCCTGATGTTCATGTTAGGTCCTCTTTTATGTCTAATATATGTCAATGACATGTCTGCAACCCTTAGCAATAAGCTTTAATTATTATATGCACAGGCACGAGTATCAGACCTGGGAAGAAAAAATATGGCCAGATTGATAAAAAAATCTGTGTTTATCTTAAAAGTGTCAAAAACCAAAAATAAATGTGAATAATGACCCCCTTTAAAAATATACTTTAAGTTAATAGTATATTTTTAAAGGGGGTCATTATTTACATTTTTTTTTTTGTTTTTATGAACACAGTTTTTTATCAATCTGGTCATATTTTTTCTTTCAGGACCGATACTCGTGCCAATGATTATATGCTGATGACTCAGTTATCCTTGTATCTGGTAAAATAAATCTGAGGAAATTCTTTCTTATAGCATGAGTCTTATAATGTCTTGCGGAAAAGGGCCAAAACGTCCAGGGGCCGTTTTTTCTACTTGGCCGATTTTGTTTGGGGCCGAAATGTCCTGTTTGCCTTATAAGATTGGTTAATTGACTATAAATTGTCTTTGCATCTTGCCAAGACAGAGTCTATTCTTTTTGGTTTAAGTTTTAACTTAAACTGGGCCTAGCCTCCAGGTAACATGTAATGGTACTGCTAATAAGTACACATCTTTTGTTAAGTATTTAGGTGCAAATCTGGATCAAATTCTTTTGGCGTCGCCCTTTGATGCTTTGCATCAATGCTTTTCTTGTAGCGTCTTGTAATAGTGAAGAAATGTTATAACATTTTACAAAGGAAGAGAGTAGTTCGACACTCTACAATTCGCTGTATTGTAAACATATATTCCCCCTCCCCCCTCCTCGACAAAATAAATAAATAAATAAATAGATAAATAAATAACAAAAGACAAAAACATGAAGACGACAAAAAAGAGAGACACATAATGCCCAATTTTGACATTTACATTTGTGCATAAGATGTGCATACTGAGGTCAAAAAGCCTAAAACCATAAAATTTGAAATTCAAGTGAATCACTTAATATAAAAAATATGAAAAAAAGGTTACGAAGAAATGAAGAAATATTCACAGAATTAAATTGAAAATCGTCATTTTGCACTTTCTGGAAAAACGGGATGAGGGAATTATCTGAAATTTGGCAAACAATTAAGTTATCGGTCCAGACCATCATGAAATGGTACACAATTCTCGGAAATATATTTTCAGTCCCGTCATATGAAAAACCTTCAGTGGAGTCCATGTAATCAATTCAAAGATTTGTTTATATTGTAAAAGTAGCAAAGCAACTACTTCTGAGACATCTCCAGTGTCCATTAAAAGTTACTGACTGTGAATACGTATGTGATTTTGTTTACCAGGGAAACATTGGGGAAAAAACATGCGAGTTCATTGAAAATCACTAATTACAAGAACATTTGTACATATACTATTTTAACACTTTCATTTAGTGGTATTGTAATAACGGTTTTGTTTCTAAAGTGACGGTTATTATTTTAACCCATTAAATCTGTTGGATTTAATGTAATGGGTTGGCCCAGTAAGTCAAATTCAATGTTTAAGTGATTTCAATATTAAAAATACAAAACAATAAACTACATAGAACCTGTCTAATCCAAACTCGTCTAGAACAAAAGTAAAGTTCGGATTTGAAAGGTTTACCGATTAGAAGGTTTTTTGCATATTTGTTCATGTAAAGTACCAACATTAAAGCGCCTGGTCAGATTGC